CATACTTATCACTTGGGGAAAAAACTGTATTGTGCGTTCATAGATTTTTGCAAAGCCTTCGACTCTGTTTGGAGAGACGGGCTATGGGAAAAACTACTTAAGAGCGGTATAAAAGGGAAAATATTCAACGTAATTCATGGTTTGTACTCAAATACAAAATCCTGTGTGAAAATGGCTCTGAAATGTCCGTCATGTTCAACTGCAATGTCGGTTTAAAACAGGCTGAAAATTTGTCACCATTTTTGTTTAATTTGTACCTGAGTGATTTAGAAGATTTCTTTCAAGAAAACAATGTGAATTGGTTATATACAGTAGATATACTAAGTACTGATACCATTGGAACATATCTGAAGTTATTTATTATATTGTATGTAGACGATACCGTCCTTATGTCAGAAACGCCAGAAGGGCTACAGTCTGCGCTTGATGTTTTTGAGTTATATTGTTCAAACTGGAAGCTCTCAGTTAATACTCAGAAAACCCAAATTATGATATTTTCTAAACGAAAAAGTAGAGCACAGTTAACTTTTTTATTTGGAGGAGTTGAACTAGATATAGAAGATAGTTTTATGTACCTAGGACTTGTTTTTAACTACAATGGCAGTTTTATCAAAGCAAAAGAACGACTAATTCAACAGGCTCAAAAAGCATTATTTGCACTACGCAGAAAAATTAGAAATATTCCTTTACCAATTGATCTCCAGTTAAAATTGTTGCCAATTCTAATATATGGTGCAGATGTTTGGGGATTTGAAAATAACACTTCAATTGAAAAAAAATCATTTATAGTTTTGTAAGAGACTGCTAAATCTTAGAAAAAGCACTGCTAACTACATGGTGTACGGAGAAACAGGAAGATATCCTATCCAGATTGAAATTAATTATAAAATGATAATGTTTTGGTATAATCTAGTCACTTGTCATGATAAGCTCTAGGGCAAAATTTACAAAATCATGTACAAGTTACACGAAAATAACGTAATTAAGTTTAAATGATTGCAAAATATTAAAGAATTACTAGGTAACTCGGGAATGAACTATGTATGGATATTCCAAGAAACATGTACTGTAAGCAAGCCGCTACTGAAAATTACACTTAAATCTAAGTTACAGGATCAATTTATTCAAAAATGAAATCATGACGTCACAATATCGTCCAGAGGGAATACCTATTCTATTTTTAAGAAAGATTTTGGCTTAGAAGAATATTTGAAACGGCTTGGGGAAAAAGATCGGGAAATAATGTCTAAATTCAGAACATCAAATTTGAAATTCCCTATCGAAACAGAAAGATGGACAGGTGTCCCAAGTGAAAATAGAATATGTCCTCTCTGTAACATCGATGTTGGCGACGAATTCCATTATTTTTTTTGTAATAATGATAGTCAGATCACGGAACTGAGGCAAAAATATATACCTAAGTATTACTATAATTATCCGACGACCGTGAAAATGAAAGGAAAGTTTCAAATATGCAACACTGTTCTCCTTAAAAGAGTTTGTAGATTTCTAGAAACAATATTGAAAATATTAATTATGCTGTAAATCCTGTTATAAGTTATACAGAATAAGATGTATTTGTATAAATGTGACCTCTTGTACCACACTAAAGTGTGGCTAAGTGAAATAAAAACTTGTGAACACTTGTGAACTTGTTCAAGGTACTACTATCGAGACCAGTTATCCCTATAATTAACCTCATCACTTTTAGTATGATTAACAAGAAGATCTAAATTCTATTTGTTAATCGCCATCAGGATCTCGCAGAGAAATGCGCTATTTCTTTGTGTGATATGAAGTTTTTTTTATTATGGTCATTAGAGTGCCTTGTGATTTTCTACCAGATTGATTTATCGAGTGTCATCTATAAAGCAATAGACACTTACCCTCCGTAAAACCGGGGCCCCTATTCATGAAATCGTTCTCATGATCAAGCATGGATTTTGAACTGAAACCTAATTCCTTGTTATCGTTAAAAATTAATAAAAAAAATGTTTTGTCGATGATTGTGAAAACATAGAGCCGAATACTGTTTCCAGTGTCACACAGAACTATTCGATCATTTTTGGGATGATTTACGCGAGATGCAAGAAAATTCGTTCGAGCACAGAATCTGTGCTTGAGCATAGGAGCGGTTTCAAGAATATGTATATTTTCAAGGTTCTTCATGTAAATCTTTTCTATGTCCTTATTTTGGCCTATTTTTCGACTTATGGTATTGTTCCACCTCTGTATTATCTGGTTGTTTTTCAAACAGAGCGAGAAGAGAGTTAACATTCTATAGAAAGTATGCGGTTCGTGATGCCGTTTTGATTTCCTATCGACCAGACGCTTGGATTAGACAAAAGTTGTTACTGTCTTAAACTGATCCATAGAATGTAGAAATTCGGGGAAAACGAACTAAGTTTAACGGTGTCATACGACCCGAACGAGCACATCGTGATGTCGATTTTTACAAGCAAAACATGTTAGCATTAAAGATAGGCATATAGTCTTCATACAATTGTACATATATACCACCGGAACTTTTAATACAAGATCCATCAGGAATTATCTTCATTTTATATTAACAAATACATAATGATTTGATAAACCATAGCATGCTTATTGCATCTTTACAATCAATAAGTAATAAAAAAAAATATTTTTGAGATTGTTGTGCAGCCCAGATAGGGTTGGTAGCTTAAACTGGCATCTCTATGTTCCATTCGTGAGCAAAAATAAGCATGATGGTGCGGTTAAGTTATCAAACAAAAAATGGATTTTACTCCGAAATGAAGTAGCTAGTAAATGATCTACAACTCTAGGGCACTCATATCAATCAAATTAGTACTTTGCTAATTGGGTCAATTTTACTAATGTAGCTGAGGTTGCAATAATTTGTACTCTTATTCTCTATAGGGCTTTACACATTAGGAAGGTGACCCCATATAACACATGCACATATTTTATTAATCATGTCGCCGGCATCGTTAATCTGACCACGATAACATCGGGCTAATTAGTTAGTCGATGTCTTTTACATGGTTCGTGATTACGACAAAGGGGAGTAACTCTATCTGACTTATTATTTATTTATTGACGTAAATTAATTGATAACCAGATTAAAACAATGTTTAACAAAATACATTGTTTTCATAGTGTACACATTTTATATTACTCGTATCAAAACACTTCATTTCTCTGACACTGACTGAAATGCAATATTTGGAATGGTCAAAGATGACGTCAGGAACATTGATAGCCTTTTGATAAAAATCAAAGTGAACAAATTAATAAACGATTCTTTTAAACAAAAATTAACGATGTTCGGTTTTAACGTTTGTAAAATAAAAATACTGATGACTGTTGATGAGCTTCCAGGAGGATTCGTTTTTGTATTGGATTCTGATAGTGGATATCAAAGATCAAGTACTACTTTCTCGCAAGATTAGCCTCCCTTTCTACTACAGATGGTAGCATTATCAGTCCATTCAAATAAATGGCAAAACATCTTTATTTCACTGTCCTATAGTGTCAGGATAATGGATAATGTTATTAAATTGTTTAACTTTATCAACTTCTATCCTTCGGGGATGTTTGTGTTTTCATATAGATAGTTCCTCGTGAATAATGGACCCCACTACTCAAGCATTGCGATCATAGATCGGTCTATAATGACAATATCCTGTTCACGTGGTTTTCCCAGAGGGCACAGAACACGGAAGTGGGGGCATTAACGTGACAGTTGATACCGAAACAATAAAAAAAATACCTGCCAAGGGGAAAACGACAGATATTGTATGAGAGTGAGGGAATGTATCTAATGGAAATGAAAAGTAGGCCATAGTGCCAATACTAAAGGACAAGGAATTGTTTGTGGAGAAACATGTAGCCATGTATGTACACAAATAGAATATATGTGTAGTTATGTCCTGTAAGTGGGGATCAAGGACGTACATAATTTGTAATGATAATTGTCTTATAAACAGCGGGAACATTTTAACCGACTTGAAAGATATCAATAACTTGAAAAATGATAAGAGGAATGTTTATATATTTGTACATGTTGTGCTATAATTTAAAGTGTACATGTCATGTACCAGTGTAGTATGCTGCTATTTCATGATGCTACCACATCACACCACCAGTTGCGTGATGCAGTGTTGATAGGCAGTGCACTGTCTTTCACCTCCGCTTATCCCGAGGTGATGCAGGTTTGATAGGCAGTGCACTGTCTTTCACCTTCGCTTATCCCGAGGTGATGCAGTGTTGATAGGCAGTGCACTGTCTTTCACCTTCGCTTATCCCGAGGTGATGCATGTTTGATAGGCAGTGCACTGACTTTCACCTCCGCTTATCCCGATGTGATGCAGTGTTGATAGGTAGTGCACTGTCTTTCACCTCCGCTTATCCCGAGGTGATGCAGTGTTGATAGGTAGTGCACTGACTTTCACCTCCGCTTATCCCGATGTGATGCAGTGTTGATAGGTAGTGCACTGTCTTTCACCTCCGCTTATCCCGAGGTGATGCAGGTTTGATAGGTAGTGCACTGTCTTTCACCTTCGCTTATCCCGAGGTGATGCATGTTTGATAGGTAGTGCACTGTCTTTCACCTCCGCTTATCCCGAGGTGATGCAGGTTTGATAGGCAGTGCATTGTCTTTCACCTCCGCTTATCCCGAGGTGATGCAGATGACAGCAGATGACCAGTCGGGGTCAGTAATGCATGTGTAATTAGAAATGACATCAGCCAAACTCGAAAAGAGATATATAAATAAAAAAAAGAAATTGAATACATATGATATGTGTATGTGGTTCAACGTGCCCGGAACATGCTCAGAGGATTAACTCCGTTATGACAGCATTAACAAAACATATCATCTAATAAACGATTGACGTTTTAAATATTTATAGCAAAAATGAAATGGTGAACATTGAATCGATTCGAGGTTATTTTCATGTTATTTTCAGTGCAGATTGCCGTATGTGTATTGGTCAAAACAACTATCGGCCCTACGTGCATACTGTATTAGTTTATATGTCAGCGGGCCAATCTATAGAGCATCACTGCTTATTATGCCTGCCATCTGCTACATAATTCATTGTCTATATTCCTATAGTTGTGTTTGTTGATCGGTGCGATCGTAACTTCTTGGCGTTGCTCCGTTGATCACTGTTTATCGTGACAGACTAGGAACAGCTTAATCCTGGAGCTATGGACCTTATAACCATCAACGTTCGGGGCACTGTTTTCATGACGGACGCTTCCAATATTCGGAATATTCTCCTTACCTCCCCACTTCTCAATCTCAATGAACAATCTAAGTACTATAACGCCGAAAGACAGGAGTATTTTTTCGACAGAAATGCGTCTGTGTTTGAATCAGTTTTGGATTATTTTGTCACCAACAAGCTTCACGTGCCGACGACCGTTTGCGCAGGACGTGTACGAGATGAGTTAGCGTTCTGGGGTATACCTGGCAAACACATTGAGAAATGTTGCTGGAAGACGTTCTTTCAATCGACGGAGGACATGAACACCATCCAACAGTTGCTAAAATACATCCCATGTGTCCAGCGGCGTGACCGATGCTGTAGCTGGACATCCATACCAAAGCTGACACAGGCGTCCAGTTTGAGATCCCGGATGTGGAAATTTCTTCACGACTTCAATTCTTCGACGTCGGCAAAGGTACAATAAATTGACCTAGTGCAGTGTAGCGTTGTTTACACAGTATTATCGGTGTTGTTAATTACATACTCGACATGTTGCCTATATATTTGTTATGTTGTTCTGTTTACTGATAATATGTAACGTTTTCCTATTTCCAGTCAATGCTGATGAGTTCCAACTACGACTTTGTTTACTCCTTTGTATCATCTTTGTACTGGTTTTCGTGATGTTTTAGTTTATAGTCATGCTGGTTTTGTTTTGTTATTTGTATTGATATCGATATTATTTGTGTACATTTGTACGTCATTTTTGCCCTTTATAATGAAGTATGGTTAAAAAAAAGTGAATTGAAAATTGTGACTTTTCACGAGAGCAGATCCCTAAAACAGTGAATGCTTTGTCAGGAAAAATCTAAACGTGACATGTTTTTTGTGAATTGTTTATATTTAGGATTAAAAGATATTTCGTGATACGAGGTTCACTACTTTTAAGATACACAACTACCTTGAAATAGAACCGTATCCGGATTTTTCTACCTTAATCCTCAGTACAATTACGTTTGTATGGTCATAGTTTACCGCGAAACTATAACGACCATGTAAATATTCTAGATAGAAAACCTGTATCGTTGAATGTTTTGAATATACATCGTTCTCTCTCTTCTGTCTGCTAGGTGTTCCACGCACTAGTCTGTCTGACCATCATTCTGTCCACTGTCCTCTTGCTGTTACAAACAGTCAGTGCAGTGCGCTTCGACAACCCGGAACCGGCCACATTTGAAAACCACACTTCCAAGGCGCTACGTATGTATTGGAATACGACACCGCATTTGTCAATCATCTGTTTGGAAGCGATCACAAATGCGTTTTTGACCATTGATTGGATATTAAGATTTATCACGTGCCCGAACCGGATGTTCTTTATGAAGCATTTCCTTAACGTTACAGACCTAGTGGCATGGGTGGGAACTTGGATGTCATTCAGTGTCATTACGGAACCCAATGCATTCTTTTCTCACGATCATACGATGGCAATCGTCATGCCAGTGTGTCTCCTCACGGCAATTCGCGGGTTTCGTGTGTTTCGGTTAATATCCAATAATTGTGGTGTAAAGATCCTGATGCTGGCCGTTGTCACGAGCACGCGCGAGCTGTGCATCCTTCTGATGACGTTCTCCTGTGCCGCTATTGTCTTTGCTGTCCTGTTGTACAGTGCTCAGCTACCGTGCGACTCCCCTACGTCCCCTCCCAATGCGCTCTTCGCCATCTGGTGGGCAGTTATCACCATGACGACGGTCGGATACGGAGACTACTACCCAACAGAACCGCTAGGACATGTAATTGGGGTGGTATGTGCAATCACTGGAATCGTTCTTATTGCACTTCCGGTTGCTGTGACATCATCGACATTTAATGACTTTTATAGTTTCAGTAAATACAGAGCTTGCTATCAGGAGCTACTTGACCAAGATGATAAGTGTGGCAACGAACAGAAAACCAGAATCAGCACTGAACTCGTACCTCCGAGGTAAAACGGAAGTTAAGATTAAAGTGGTTTATTTTAACTCCATAATCACTTAATAATGTTGAATAGGTTGCTTGCTTTCAATGTATTTTGATAATTATATATAATTCGCTTTTTTATGAATCAACACCAATAATTCTTTTATGTTTTTACTACTTTGTAATTTATGACCGATACCTTTATATCTAACGTAATTGTAAGCCTATAGACACGAAGGGATCTTACTGTCGTTATGGAGTTGGTATAGCCACATTTCCATGATGGAGGACACAGCGAATTGTGCTGCATGACTGGCTATGATAAAAGTTTCATAATAAACTTAGTTTCCCAATACGTAGATATGCGTTATACAGCCAGCTCATCAAAACTTTCTGATCACAGTTACCTGCATTAACGTAGGTCTATTTTATCTAGGCTGGAACGCATTCCTCGGATACTTTTTGACATGGACAAGGTAGCTTTGATATTGATTTGACATGATGTATCATTGTTTTGAGTATTTTGTATTGATATTGTCTTTGCCGTATATATCATTATGTATTATTAAATGTCACCAAATTAAAATACTATTAAACGTTGTATGCGTATTTCCTTTATTTGAATTACAACCAATGGATTATGTGTCGATACAATCGCGTATGTAGTTAATAGACTGCTACGACTATGCAAAACTTTTCATACATTCATGTATGCACCTACAGATACCTACATACGTACATACATACACACACACACATACATACATACACATACATACATACATACATACTTTATAATATGTATATATGTCGGGCGTCATATCCGTTTTTTTAATGATAAGAATACATATGAACTATAATAGCATTTAAAATAGTTAGGCTTTTGTTTCGTCATATAATGCATTTTGTATAGGTACAAGCATCACCACTAAACAGAATAGACCTAACTGTATACTCGGGACACTTGCTTATACTTTGTTATACATACAATGGTTAGGTATTTACAAATAGACCATCAATGGATGATACATGTTGGTCAGTCATCAAATATTCATCAACCAGTCGTTTGTGGAATAAATTACTCATGGACAGGATGTGCTATTGGAATGGCAGTTATAGGACAACAGGCCACTTCAATACATTCCCATCAAGTTAAGTGACTGAAAAGGGAGAAATTTCCCAAATTAGGAACATATACTCTCTTAATAGAGTACCAGTACTCAAGAAACTAGGTAAGTTCTAAGTCTCTGTTAAGAACCTTTTTTTAATTTATTGACTGTAAGCATACTTCACATTGTCTATTAATTATATTAGTGTAGCATATGAGATACCCCGTTTGTACAGGCACCATGTACAGTATGGAGTAGAGTCGTGGAGAGGAATGTTGGAGTCTGTTTTGAAGTGAAATTTTGGAGTCATTTATTTACTTAAAATGATTGAATGTAGTTACATGTGTAACAATGATATAACACTTGTGACAATGATATAACACTTGTGACAATGATAAACACATGTAACAATGATATAACGCTTGTAACAATGATATAACAAATGTAACAATGATATCACATATGTAACAATGATCTAACACATGTGACAATGATATAACACATGTGACAATGATATAACACATGTAACAATGATATTACACATGTAACAATGATATAACACACGTGACAATAATAAAACACATTTAACAATGATATAACACTTGTGACAATGATATAACACATGTAACAATGAAATAACACATGTGACAATGATATAACACATGTAACAATGAAATAACACTTGTGGCAATGATATAACACATGTAACAATGATATACACATGTGACAATGATATAACACATGTAAAAATGATATAACACTTGTGACAATGATATAACACATTTAACAATGATATAACACATGTAACAATGAAATGACACATGTAACAATGAAATAACACATGTAACAATGATATAACACATGTAACAATGAAATAACACATGTAACAATGATATAACACATGTGACAATGATATAACACATGTAACAATGAAATAACACATGTGACAATGATATAACACATGTAACAATGAAATAACACTTGTGGCAATGATATAACACATGTAACAATGATATAACACATGTGACAATGATATAACACATGTAAAAATGATATAACACTTGTGACAATGATATAACACATGTAACAATGATATAACACATGTAACAATGAAATGACACATGTAACAATGAAATAACACATGTAACAATGCTATAACACATGTAACAACGAAATAACACATGTAACAATGATATAACACATGTGACAATGATATAACACTTGTGACAATGATATAACACATGTGATAATGATATAATACATGTAACAATGATATAACACATGTGACAATGATATTACACATGAAACAATGATATAACACATGTAACAATGAAATAACACATGTGACAATGATATAACACATGTGACAATGATATTACACATGTAACAATGATATAACACATGTAACAATGATATAACACATGTGATAATGATATAACACATGTAACAATGATATAACACATGTGACAATGATATTACACATGTAACAATGATATAACACATGTGACAATGATATAACACATGTGATAATGATATAACACATGTAACAATGATATAACACATGTGACAATGATATTACACATGTAACAATGATATAACACATGTGACAATGATATAACACATGTGACAATGATATAACACATGTAACAATGATATAACACATGTGACAATGATATAACACATGTGACAATGATATAACACATGTGACAATGATATAACACATGTAACAATGATATAACACATGTGACAATGATATAACACATGTAACAATGATATAACACATGTGACAATGATATAACACATGTAACAATGATATAACACATGTGACAATGATATAACACATGTAACAATGATATAACACATGTGACAATGATATAACACATGTAACAATGATATAACACATGTGACAATGATATAACACATGTAACAATGATATAACACATGTGACAATGATATAACACATGTAACAATGATATAACACATGTGACAATGATATAACACATGTAACAATGATATAACACATGTGACAATGATATAACACATGTAACAATGATATAACACATGTGACAATGATATAACACATGTAACAATGATATAACACATGTGACAATGATATAACACATGTAACAATGATATAACACATGTGACAATGATATAACACATGTAACAATGATATAACACATGTGACAATGATATAACACATGTAACAATGATATAACACATGTGACAATGATATAACACATGTAACAATGATATAACACATGTGATAATGATATAACACATGTAACAATGATATAACACATGTGACAATGATATTACACATGTAACAATGAAATAACACATGTAACAATGATATAACACATGTGAAAATGATATCACATATGTAACAATGATATAACACATGTGACGATGATATAACACTTGTGACAATGATATTACATATGTAACAATGATATAACACAAATAACAATGATATAACACTTGTGACAATGCTATAACACATGTAACAATGATATCACATATGTAACAATGATATAACACATGTGACAATGAAATAGCACATGTAACAATGAAATAACACTGCTGACAATGAAATAACACAAATAACAATGATATAACACATGTTACAATGATATCACATATGTAACAATGATATAACACATGTAACAATGATATAACACATGTGACAATGATATAACACTTGTGACAATGAAATAACACATGTAACAATGAAATAACGCATGTAACAATGAAATAACACTTGTGACAATGAAATAACAATGATATAACACTTGTGACAATGCTATAACACGTATGGCAATGATATAACACTTTCAACAATAATATAACACATTTAACAATGATATAACACTTGTGACAATAATATAACACTTGTAACACGTGTATATACCTGAAACAATACCTGTGGTTGTGTCTTTGTTTATATATAAACACGAGGTGGACCTCTAGCAATAAAGTAATTATATGTTTGTTGTTTCTATATCAAAGTAAGAATATGTTTTTAAAACAGCAAATATCTATGCCATATATGTGTTGAATCAAGTTACAGGATGCTATCAGTGTACAGTTGACAGAATGTATAGCCAAGCATTAAATGGAACACACAAATACAGTGTTGTATACATGAGCCTGCATACTCTTGTTTATCTTTCTCGTCATCTGTAATTAAGGTTATTGACTTCAAAATAAATCAGAATATTTGGTTTATTTGGTTTGGTTTGTTTGTGTTTTACGTCATATTAACGGCTATGGTCATGGTTTTTGGGGTGGAAGAAAGCGGGAATTCCCGGAGAACACCACCGACTTACGGCAAGTACTTGGCGACTGCCCAACGTAGGTCTCGAACCTGCGACCCAGTAGTGGAGGGCTAATGGTAGCAGAATGTCAGACGCCTTAACCACTTAGTCACCGTGGCCCCAAATCAAAATAAACAAATGAAATGTACAACTTAACCCTCAACTAGTTTTTACTCCAAATTTGGCTCCAAAAATTCACTCCAAAACAGACTCCATCATTCCACTCCACTCCAACACTCCACGACTCCTTTCCACGACTCCACTCCATACTGACACGGTGCCGTTTGTACAGATATGTACAATCAATATAGTTAGTACATTTTGTAATCACCCTCACGGAAACAACACCTTTTAAGGACTTTCCACCCTTCTAATACACATGTTTTTCTTGACGTATTTTCGTGTCGTCATTTCCGTATTGCGTATCGGGCATTCAATTACCATAGTGTAAATTATAGTAACACCGGGTAAACAATAGTACACGTGCGTGACGATGAAATGTCAACACCCGATATCAAGACTTCACTGGGAAATGTGTAATCACACGTACTTCAGAAATAAAGCTGATGATACATAGACATTAATTAACTCACGGGAAGGCACTGGCATAAGATCAGATGAGCTTGTTTATAACTATTTTTATCCATACAATTTCAATAGAAAATGCTTTGTGTAACATGTTGTAGATATTTTATCATAAATAAAATATGTGTAGGGTTGATTAGCAATGCTTCTTTTCATTATTTTATTGTTGTAATAGTTTTGAACAATGCCATACACTCAAAAAAAGAGAAAGTATTAAATATGACAAAAAATCATTTTTTTCGGTATTTTTTACAAAAAATCTCCAGTTTATCGGAATGCTTAGATTTTCATCAAATCATCTCTACATAGTGACATAACCATTATGTGAATCTTTCATTGAATTCTGCTGGTTAATTGCGAAAGGGTGGAGCCTCCTTAAGTAATTGAGAATTGGCATGTAAGGTTTTGGTCGTCCAAATAAGGTACATTTGTATGATACATAATTACCGTACGACATCCATATACATGAATGTATTTCGAAAATATATTCAATAGTTTGATATTTGTATGAGGAAAGAAAATGCATGTAAGAGAAAATTCAAAGAAGGCTTATCTAACTTATTTTGTATGATAGATAGTTT